ATCCTGTCCATTCCCTTTTCCTCTTGCCACTTGCTCCCAATGAGACAAAAAAGTCAATTAACTTAGGTCACTTGTGATACAGTTTACAGCACAGCCCTACCAAAAGCTGTTGTGTTTACACAACCGAGGGAGCAGCAAATTCCAGTGTTTGTGAGAGGCTAAGAAAAGTCTTGAGAACAAAGACAGGTTAAGAGAACAGTTAATACACATCATGAAACTACAACTCCACCTTATTCTTAGATCTTTGTGACTTCATGATTTATAATTCTCTCTCTATGGTTTATAAACCCCTCTTTCATTAGGAATTAATATTTGTTTCCCAATTGTCTTTGTCCTCAAATGGTCTTGCCTTAGTCTCCCAGTCAAATTTTACCTAATACATAACTGAAACACCACCTGCAACCATACCTCCATATCTGAATCCATGCAAGTAATCCCATAATTTCATGCTGAAATTAAAAGGCCTCCCAATCTAAATAGACTTGAATAACTGAGGCCTTTAAAAACTGTTTGATAAGTTCAGGCATCAAATGAACTGTATGTTATGTATCAACACTGGACATTTACATGGCAAAGGTTTCATACTTTTGAAATATCTGACAGTACTAGAAAGCCAAACCATAGCCAGTATTATGACATACAGAATAGTGATGAACATTTTTGTCATGACTATGAAATCCTTGTAGTCAAACAAGACTAACAGATATCAGAGATGGAAAATACTAATTTAAAGCATACTAGGCCTGTACACAAACACTATTCCTCTAAGATATTATCTGCCCACCAAAAAAACCCTCAAAAGTCTTGCATTGTTTCTGGTGAGCACGATGATATAGACTGTGCAAAAAAAGGTTTAAAAAACTGATTTAAATTGATTTGATAGTTACTCTCACTAAATACTACAAAAAATAAATCCTTGAGACCCATGAAATCACATAAATAAGCACTTTTAAAGTTTTAATTGTACATGCTAATAACTTTAATCATAATACTTTGAACATGTATAATAAATCCACTTACTTAAAACATCTGTAAAAGACTTTCTTGCTCAGGCACACAAGCAGAATGATAAAGGTAATACCAGCTAAATCATCTCCACTGAGCTGTCAATAAAAACCCTTACACCACGAACAACACATAGATTAAGAACTCGGGTAAACATCAGAAAAGACCCCATATGGGGCTGCATGCAGAGCAAGAAATACCACACCATATATATTTATGCAAGCATATAAGCACTTTCAAAGTCTTAGCCTAAAAACAACTTTGGTGATAACCGGCTTACATGAGACTTGAGCAGGATCAAAACTGAGAGCTAGCCAAGAAAAAAAAAACAGAAGACAGATAATATCTGATGTCAACAAACATAACATAATTAAACCCTGAAAGAATAACTTGCAGTTATTCCCACGTGACATCAAATTTTAAGCCAAATGTAAGCAGATAAACAAAACAACCACTCACAGGATGTGCAGCTCAGCAGAATCTCTATTTTAATAGAGACATACACTAGACAAGAAAAAGTGTTCTGATGAAAAGAGAAAAGGTATTGAAAACATTCTCGATTCACCTGGAATATTGTCTTTTGCGACATTGCAAAAAAACCAGAAAAACAGAATTAGTTCATAGATTTGTATGAGCTATGAACAAATACGACTCTATGAAAAAAGAAAATACACAAATATACCCTCCTTCCCCCACGCCTGCAGAAAAAGCACCACACAAAACCAGAAGAAAACCAAGAAGGCAGAAAATCTAAACAGCAAGAGTTAATGACTTCATTCCTAATATGAGGAAATGTGCAACCATGATGAAAAGCAATCTACTAACAACAAAAGGAACCATGTAATGCTATTGTGGAAGTCATTGTCAAAGACAGATGCAGAGACAACTCACCTCAGAAACAGACAATGTTTCTATTGATTTTAAATCAATAGGTGCTTGCACCAGATTGGACAGGTTTTTTTCTACAAATCAGATTTAAAGATTCAGCTTTGACTGCATGAAACAGCAACTACATAACCAAAATTAGATGGACAATTGCCTTCTAGGCAAGTCATTCTACATAACAGATGGGGGTTATCATTGTCCACGTGAACCAGACCTCTCTGTATCCAGTACTGCATAACCCACAGAGTTTGAGATTTGAGTGAGGCATCACCCTTTTTCTTTGAGCATCTTACAGGCTGCAACTGACAGTAACAACCTACCTTACACTTGTACCTTGTAGCTGTCACTGTACTGATGCTCACAACCAATTTAAGTGAGACAATCTACTCTCTAGATGAACATAGTATGCAGCAGAAAGCATCTATTTGTATGCAGCAAATAAAACTGGATTACTGTTCCTTCAGCAGAACTACCACAAAGAAGTTTCTTTGTATATTCACATTTTTTGTACAGTTTTTCACGTCTGCATGAAGACAGATCTATCTTACAGAATAATTTTTAAAATCTCATATTCAGAAATTCAAGAAAACTCCTCATTCAGCTTTTGATAAAGAAATTGTAACTGAAACAAGTTAAAGAAATACAAACGTAAGCATGAGCTCAAACGTTGACTCAGATCATGCTAGTATTACTCATATTAGTCATTACTGGCCTCATGCTGAGAACCCCATGGGACACATGAATACATAAAGAACCCACCAAAATCAGTGCACAGCCAGGGTCAGAGGTTTTGAAACAGTAGCTCTGTTAAGTCAAATGAAAAAATGTAACTGTGTACTTGCCTAATGACAGCGATAACATTTGCATGCAAACCTAGGTAAAAAGTAGCAGGTGTGTTACAGCAAAAATGCTAGCCTGTAACAGAAGAGGAGCACTAGGATAGGATAATTTGAGTTGAAAGGCACTGCACGAGGTCATCTCATTCAACCTCCTACTTAAAGTTCCAGTTACTTTTCTAAAAAAAAGGCACCAGATTTTGGTTACCTTCTTCCAGTTGTTTTTTTTGGGGGGGTTTCTTTGGTTTTGTTTTTTTTTAGAACAAATACTTGTTTTATTATTGCATGGTCAATTCTGTTAACTGCTTTTTAATCACAAGTTTTGTAACTTTTGATACTCTTCTATTCATAATGAACATCATTTAATTACTGTCTCTGTTTTGTATTACTACATTTCTGAATTTTGTTTATTACCCTCTTAAGGCTCTTTCAGATGGGATCTCAGGTGATTTCTTGTAACTGCAAACATCGTCACTTAGCTTTTGTTTACATAAGGTCATACTGTAAAAATGCCCCAAAGCTGAAATAAAAGGAGACCAATGGCAAAGCAACAACATCATTCAGCAATTGCTTTTCTCCTAACTTCAGAGAGATGATGCCACTGCTAGTACAACATGGCACTAACACTCACTTCAGTACTATTCTGTGGTCATGCATAACACTACCTCCACAGAGTTTGGAAATGGTTGTTCTACAGATTTCAACTTGGTATTAGCCTAATTATCACTTTGAACAGCTACAAGTAAAAAGCAGTAGCAACCTCCTTTCATTTTCCATTCTGCAGTTCCAGTCAGTCTGATTCAACCAACAAGGATGTTGGACTATTTTATGCATTCCATGTACTTCTTGCTCATTACAACTTCCCCTTCCAGCAGAAAATACTCCTTCCCCTTCTGTCATTGGCGCTTACAAAAAATGAAAATCTGTGAATAGGTCAAATTCAGGCTTCTCTGGAAAGTCCACCACAGCTTAAAATCCCTGCTATTTTATGCAATAATACTGGAATTGTTTAATTCAAGAGTCTAGACTTACACCATGTAAGTCACTCTGGATGCATTCTCATCAAGCAGAACACAGTAGTGGTTACTGTATTCCTACTGAATCCTCAAATTACTGCCACAAACCCTAAAAAGGAAAGAAAAAGGAGCATGTCCAAAGAACATCACTACAGTATTAGCACTATATCAGTTATGAAGAAGACTGAGATGCAAGGAAGGAAAAGAAAGTTAATCCATATCCAAAATACCTTTAAGTGTGCACATCTCTCTATAGTCTTCTGTCAATACTGATTTTCCATAAAATAGAAACTTAAGAAACACTTCTCTCTCACCTAGTTACATTTAACTAGCAATAGAACAAATGAAGTAGATAATAAATTGGTAAGCTTAACAGAGCAAAGATGTCAGAAACACTGATCACAAAGCAAATTTACAGTTTGCTTTACAAATTTACTCAAGTGCAAAATTACCCTCAAAACTGTTAATAACCATTATAATCTTCCCAATTAAGTTTCCTTCTGTGCAACAACCAAAAGGAATACAGTCAACAATTCTCAGCATAAAACAATTTATGGATAACCAAAGGAAGGTGTTATTTTCTTACCTGTCACCGACTGCAGAAGTGAGAGATTTGAAGACAATGCCACAATAAGGTTCTAATTGAAAAAAAAAGAAAAAGAAAAAGAAAAAAGAAAAAAAAAAACTGAGGAAGTTTTTTCTGAAATTATTTTCTTAAAAGAAAAATTATCGTCTGAAAATTAATCAAATCTATTAATTCACAACCCACACCTAACGGAACACTTCCCCACGCACAAGCAAATTCAACAGAGACTTACAGAGAAAAACCACAAATGCGGTTTTTCGCGACTGTTTGCCCTCCTTCTGCGAAGAGATTTTTTTTTTTAACGGCACAAATAAGTACTGGCGAGGAAGTTCTCCCGCAACACACAGCACCTCCACCGAAGAGGCGCGGCAGCCACACTTCCCCGCCGCCCAGGTCGGCCCCGGCCCGCCCCCCGGGAGCCCTGTTTACGGAGGGGGAGGAAGCCAGCGCGGTGCCCCGCTCACAGCGCCCGCCGGACCGGCTCTCCCGCCCCCCGAGCGCCCGCCCGCCCCCGCCCGCCGGGGTGAGCC